CGCGCACACACACACACACACACACACACACACACACACACACACACACACACACACACACACACACACACACACACACACACACACTCACACACACACACACACACACACACACACACACACACACACACTCACAGAGTCTCGCTTTCCGTGCAGCTGTGCCGATCAACAGACTCCTCTCTCTTACCGTCTTCACTTCCTCACTTCCACCACCCCCCCCAACCACTAATGTGGATGTGCGACTGCAGTCCGCATACGCCACGTACATCGACGCTCTCCTTGCCGTCTTCTCCCTTCCCGCAGCAGCAGATGGTGTGTATGTGTGTATGTGTGTTGTGTGCATGTGTGCACGTGTGTGTGCGTATCTGACATTCAGATGCTCACCTGTTCATGGCCTGTGTGCCCACTTGACGCAGACATCATCTCCATCGAAACGCAGCTCGCCCACATCTTCATTCCAAACGTGCGTTGTTCTCCTTGACGATGGTGTGAGCGGAAAGAATGGTTGTGGCGCATTGAGACCCACCACTTGCATCATCACGCCTTTATTGATCAACCACACGCACACACACACACACCACTTGCATCATCACGCCTTTATTGATCAACCACACACACACACACACACACACACACGCACACAGGATGAGCTGAAGGACCCTGTTGCGCTGTACAACCCCTTTACTGTCGCCAAGCTCGACTCCGATTTCAGCTTTGTGCGCTGGTCGTCCTTTCTCTCCAAGATCTACGCATCAACGACGCCACCAACGGCGCTCGTCGTGTCCACCCCAAAGTACTTCCAGCGCCTCACAGGTACGCAGTGACTGCTGCGTACGCCTACCCGTCTGCGTGTGTGAATGTGTGTGTCTGATTGTGTTTGTTTGTTTGCTTGTGTACATGTGTACATGTGTGTGTGTGTGTGTGTGTGTGTGTGTGTGTGTGTGTGTGTGTGTGTGTGTGTGTGCAGTCGTTCATTTTGTCTGTGCACGTGTGCGCATTGGTCATTGCGCCTCCGCTACCATCGCTCAACTCCTCACCAACACACGTGCTCGTGTCCGCTGCAGACCTGTGGCCCACTATCCCCAAGGACCAGCGCGTGTCGTACCTGACCTTCCACCTCATCAGCCGCTACGCAGCCGCCATGGGCAAGGACGTGCGTGCACTGCGACAGAGCCTGCTGGAGGTAAGCGCTTGGTGCGGTATGTGCGTCTGGGTATGTGCAGTTGGCTGGGTATGGTTGGTTGTCTGGCTTCCTCGTTCATTTGTTCCCTTGCATATGTATGAGCACATGTAGCATTGCGTCTTTGTGTTTAATGCCACGCACACGTGAGTGGTTGGTTATCCCATCACGGCGTTTTGTTTTTCCACATGCTCAAAACACCAAAAACCCGGGGGATATCGGAACCTACAATTTCGCCCCAAAG